TAATTGCCTAGAGCAGCCGTGGGCAAACAACGGCCCACGGGCCGGATCCGGCCCATTTGAAATGAATAAAACTAAAAAAATAAAGACCGTACCCTTTTATGTAATGATGTTTACTTTGAATTTATATTAGTTCATACAAACACTCCATCCATGCTTTTGTTCCGGCCCTCCGGTCCAGTTTAAGAACCCATTGTGGCCCTTGAGTCAAAAAGTTTGTCCACCCCTGGCCTAGAGGTTATGATTACATACACACACACATACAAACACACATACACACATACCATGAATACATAGAGGGATTTAATTGTTCATATTTGAGGAATGCAGGAAGAAGTATACAGGAAATGATATAAATAAAAGGATATAATGAGATGTGCATATTTTAGAGGCATAATAAAGTTTATGGATTAAAGAGTCTAAAGAGATGAGACTACCTGAAGGGAAGTATGAATGAGTTCAAGCAGTCACATTGAAAAATCTACAGCAAATGCTAGCCTAGACCAATACCCCAGGAGGTATTTGCAAGCAAATGGAATCATCCTAGGTGAAACTTTACTGGACTGGAGTCAGTAATCCACACTAATAAAAGGGAAACATGCAAATTGATCATCCCTCTGCTATGTCCACCAGCCAATCAGGGCGAGTATGCAAATTAACCCAATAAAGATGGCAGTGGCCACAGAGCTGGAGGCTTGGGCTGCCTCTGGCAATGGAGGAAGCCAAGCTTCCTACCTGCCCTGGCCGCTGCTGAAAGAGTGGCTGGGAGCATGGGTCAGGGGCCACCCAGGCTTCCAGCTGGCCCTGGCTGCTGCTCAAGGATGGGCTGGGGGCCTGGGTTGCCAAGAACCCGGGGAGGCAGGGTGGGCCTAGAGGCTTGGCTTCTCTGCTGCGGCCGGACCAAAGGCCTGGGTCCTGGGTGCCGGAGGAAAACCGGTGCCAGCAGCCAGGGAAGGAAGGCCTATTGCATGAATCTTTGTGCAATGGGCCTCTACTTTAGATAATAAAAACATACGCTTTCACTTGAAACATTTGAATAACTACCTAAATTCTCTGCTTCAATTCTGTAAAGCTCAATCAGAAATAAGCTCAAAAACTGTAAAAACTGCTGTTTAGGTTACATATCCTAATGGGACCTAGTAGGTAATGTAAATTTGACTACAACAAAATGCATAGGGATCCAGAGATAGTTCATGTGGATCAACAAATGAAGCTGAGCCAAGGGATCTAGCGTTGACACTGTAATTTATAGGTGCTTATCTCAGGGCTATGATCTCAGAATCCCCACGTGGAGAAGGGAAGGGAATCAATCGTTTCCTAAATTTGAAATATGGCAGCTTAGTGCAAACTAGATGATTTACATATATTATTTCCTTTAATAATATCTCACAATGATCTTATTGGGTAGATATTATTCCTATTTTTATGTATGAGAGAAATAAGACTCAGAAGGCTTATGTAGCTTGCCCAAGGTCTCTCAGTTAGTTAAAAGTGAAGCAAGGTAAGGAGTATATTTTATGGCAAGTTCCTGGTATACCTTACTTGCCTTTTCATTATTTTCTGACAGCCCTTGAATCCTCAAGAGGAATTAATGAATTCCTACCATGAGCTGTGAACCATTTTGGTGAGGATCTCCTACTGTTTGAAATCAAGAGGTTCTGAATTTCTTTTAGAGGCAGTAATTTCTGCCAATCTTCAGGCAATTATCTAACTGTAAGTCAGAGACAGGGAGAAATACCTCTGCTGTGGTCAGTATTCTAAAAGAGACCACTGCTTCCAAGTGGGGTTCCAACATCACAGCTTAAAGTTTCCTTGACTCGAATTACTTAAGTCTTTTGTGGAAAAACAAAGATCCAGGTTAGAGATTCTAAAGTCTTCGATCATTTAATCTTGAATAAGAAAGCCTAGAGCTAGTGATCTAAAATAATATCCTAAGAAAACATAACCCTTTCTATTGAAAGTTCATAGTTTTTCCATTGTTAACTAAAAGAGACTGGGAATTACAGCGAATGGTGCCAGAATATTTTAATCTGCTTTACAGTAGCTAGTACAGTACCAAATGTGAAGCTGTAATTTATTCATGCAAAGCATTTCATAAGCAAAGAAAACGAATCAGAAGTGGCAGTCTTACATATATTATCCCTTGTTGTTATGCCAGGTATGCCTCTCACAAGAAACCAAAGGAAGATATTTATAATCAATAGAGCGCTTGTTCCTTAAAGGCCTTGTTTGCAAGTAGAAGCTGAAAATAGTAGAAATGCATTTATAGCCAAACCAGATGAAAACAAACAAACAAACAAACAATACATACATGGACATCTAGGCACTTGCTTTAGAAGGATAATTTTTAATATTCTATTAAACAATAATCCATGAAGTTAATAATAAAGACCTAAATCAAAATTATAGCTTTGGGAATAGAAAACAAGGGATGGATTCAAGAGGACGTAGAAACAGCAAGTATTGTAGAGGTAAAGAATGTAAGTTTAGTTTTGGCCATGTTAAATTTACTAGCAGCAAGCCCTGCCAGTGTGGCTCAGTGTTGAGCGTCGTCCCATGAACCAATAGGTCACGGTTTGATTCCTAGTCAGGGCAAATGCCTGGGTTTCAGGTTTGATCTCAAGTGTGGGGTGTGCAGGAGGTGGTAGATGTTTCTATTTTTCTATCCCTCTCCCTTTTTCTCTCTCTAAAATAATAGAAACATATTTAAATATTTACTAGCAGCATGATTACATTTGGTGTATAAGTCTAGAGCTCAGGCAAGGTCTGGGCAAGTGATATGGATTTAGAAATCTTTTAATAGGTACCATTTGAAATCATTGGCATGCATGAGGTTATTTGAAGTACATGTGCAAGATGTGAAAAGGACCAAAAACGAAAGTGCTAAAGAAAGCTTATAGTCAATGAATGGACAAAGGCAGGCAAGCCCACAAAAAAGCCAATAAAGGAGACAATTATCTCATTGTTTCCCTGTCTCTTCTGCACTATACGTGAGATCCATGGGGCAGAAGTGTTTTATTCACCTCTGTCTATCCAGGACTTAACATAGTACCTATCATTTGGTAGATGCTTAATAAATATTTATTGAACAAAATGAATTATGTTTCTATATATGATGATATTTTTTAAACACCTTCTTAAAGTGCCTAGGCCCTCGGAGGTTTAATTATAATACTCTCTTGCATGAAAAATTGAGTCTGATCTAACTCAAAAGTTGAATGCACACTTCATCTTCATGGGTGGAAGCACTTGACAAGAAATTTAACCATCCATGAAGAGTTTGCTAACTTATAAGTCACAACTGATTTGATGAACAAATGAAGGAGAAACAAGCACATGAAGAAACAAGAGATTCCATCTGACAGCTTTTTTTGGTTTGTTTTTTCCCCTAGAAGAAACTTATAAATGGCCACTTTCAACTCCGTTTCTGTTTTTTTTCCTTCCTTAAAAAGACTAAAATTTCTGCTTAAATGACTTGGCATACTCTGAGATTTTTCTAAAAACTGCTGTTAGGGAAAACTCCCGTGAAATTCCAAGGCCAGAGATGGTTAATTTATGTTTCTAATAGGTAAAGTATTACTTAAAATTTTTTCCAACTTAAGTTTACATTTATATTTTCTGAATATGTCTTGCTGTTGATGGATATAAAAATATCTGAATATTCTATATTTAATAATAGCAAAAACCTATCTCATTAAAATTGATTTTGAAAACAGTTAATTCCTAACTAATTCCTCACTCTAGTGAGCTTCTAATCTTTAGATCCTTTAATGAGGATTAATAATAAACCAAAAGTTTAAGCCTACTGATATACATATTTAAAAGAATGCAAGTCAGAGATATAGGATTAGGGTGAATTATATAAAAACAACTTTTGTCTAAGTACCATCAGTGAACAGAGCTAGAATCTGGCATTTAGAATTTCACTAGTATTAGGCCTTTTAATTTTAACATACTTTGTTTGGTTACCTATTGTTATTTTAAAAAATAAATATTTTTATTGATTTCAGAAAGGAAGAGAGAGGGAGAGATAGAAACATCAATGATGAAAGAGAATCATTGATCAGCTAGCTCTTGCACGCCCCCCACTGGGGATTAAGCCCACATCCTGGCATATGCCCTCACTGGGAATCTAGCCATGACCTCCCAGTTCATAAGTTGATGCTCAACCACCAAACCACTCTAGCCGAGCTCTGTCAGGTAGTAAACAGAATGGAATCTTGAGCCTTAGTCTTATTCCTTTTCAGGTGTTCTGAGTCTGAACTGCCTTGCAGAAAAATTAGGGTGTTTGTATAGATGCTTTCTAATGTTCACTGAAGTTAGAATATTTTATGATCTATGAATAAAGTATTTTTTACAATCAATCCTATTGTGTTGTTTTTATCTGCATAACAAAGATAACTAAGAAACTACATTTTATTGAGATTGCACTAAATATAACTTTCATGCTGAATTTTTAAGAAGGGGGTTGATTAAAAAGTGAAAACACTGGGACACCACCTTTCCATTGTCCTTCCACAAACTGGTCTCAATGAACTAAAGGGCAGAGAATAAGAAGATAGACGAAGCACAAAAACTGAGATCAGACTGGTTCTTCAGTGATCCATGGATCATTTAATGTAGTTTTTACATTTAAAAACATATTTTCCACAAAGGAAAACATCATTATAAGATACTTTAGTTATCTTGCATTTCTAACAGAAAGGACATCAGGAAGACTCAGAGTTTTAACTATTTTCCTCACTCAGTGCTAGGAGATGAACAGGAGAAACACAGCTACTTTATTCATTTTTTAATTTTTATGAAAAAGGAAGCTTTATGGATGTTTTACTCTATATACAATTAAGGCTGATCGTAGAGTTGAGTAGAATTAAGAAGCAAAAAGAATGATGATAATAACTGTGATAATAATTAATAACATTTTCTTTCAGGAAACTGTTTATTAATGCTCTATGAATCTTACTTGGAGAAAAGTGAAAGGCAATGGACAAATATTATAGTACCTCGGTAGTTGATGATTTCTGTCCCAAGCACCGGAGTCATCTCCAGGACTGTGATGAAGGCTTTGTCCATAGATGTTAGAGGAAAAGGAGACATGCGGTGTCTTCTAGCCACCTTGGTGATATCAACAGCACTGTGACCTAAACAGGAAGATAATTAACTAAGAATATGATGCGGAAACCCTGATTAAAAAGTGGGACTGGCTCATAAATATCAACAACCCTCGGTTTCTTATATACCCAAATGAAGAATACAAGGTGAGAAATTTTCTCTTGCCAAAATATAGCCTTCTTTGGTGGAACAAGTTAACATTACCTCATGTGTCAAAACATGGTGAACTTTAAAGATAATACTGCCTAATTCTTTTTGTTTTTTTCTTAAATGTCTTTTTTTAATTAAAAACTTTTAATATTGCCGAAACCGGTTTGGCTCAGTGGATAGAGCATCGGCCTGTGGACTGAAAGGTCCCAGGTTCGATTCCGGTCAAGGGCATGCGCCTGAGTTGCGGGCACATCCCCAGTAGGAGATGTGCAAGAGGCAGCTGATCAATGTTTCTCTCTCATTGATGTTTCTAACTCTCTATCGCTCTCCCTTCCTCTCTGTAAAAAATCAATAAAATATATTTAAAAAAAAAACAAAACTTTTAATATTGACATTATTGCAGGTATTCCCCCTTTTATCCTCCTTTTCCCACCTCTACCCACTCCCCTCCCCCTCCTTTGGCTTTCACCATACTATTTAATTCTTAAATTTCTTTATTTTTTTTATTGTTTAAAGTATTACAAATAGTAGTACATCTGTCTCCTCCCCCCTCCCCCATTTGCCTAATTCTTTTTAAAAAATATTTTTATTGATTTCAGAGAGGGGGAGAGAGAGAGAGTGACTGGCTGCCTCCTACATGCCCCACACTGGGGATTGAACCTTCAGCCTGGGCATGTGCCCTGATCTGGAATCGAACCATGATCTCTTGGTTCATAGGTCGCTGTTCAACCACTGTACCACACCAGCTGGGCTGCCTAATCTTTTGTGCATGTTGCTATGTGCCGTGGCACTGGTCTAATTTAACTTACTCATCACAAGAACCTTATAGGAAGGCATCATTATTATCCTTATTTACAGATAAGAAAAGAGAGGTGTAGAGAGAGTATATGTTTTGATCTAAATCACAGAAGAGCCACAATTCAAGCCTAGGTAGCCTGGCTTCAGAGTCCACGTGCTTAATCACTACACTAAACTTTGAACATTTAATGTGCTAGTTAGTAAAATGCAATACCCAAACTTTATCTTATCTAGGATTTCATAGAAAATTTTCTTTCTTCTGAAAAGTCATAGAAAAAGGTTATTACTTAGCTACCCCTATGTAACCTCATCTAGTCTCATGAAATTAATGTCACCCATTCACTAAAATTCCTAATTTTATATCTCTAATCCCAACCTCTACTGGTGACTCTAGGATTGTAGGCCATGCAAATAGCAGTGGATAAGAATATATATATATTTCCTAACATAAATCATCCAACATGCATTTGGATATGTAACAGGCATTTCAAGCCTAACCTGTCCAAATCAAACTCTTGATTTCCCACCCTCCTAGCCTACCCAAACAATTCCTGTCCTCAGAAAATAGCAACTCTGTTCTTCCAGTTATTAGTCTAAAACGTTGGAGACATCCTTGATTTTTCTTTTTGTCAGAACCATATCTAAACTACCTTTGAAATATTTCTAGGATCTGATCATTACTCACCATCTCTACTACTGCCACAATGGCTGAAACTATCACTTATTTTCTGGGAACTGAATAGCCTCCTAACTGGTCTCCCTGTTTCTATCCTTGTTCACTACAAAGTAGTTATAGTAATCCTTTTAAACTGTAAATTAGATTGTGCTAATCTCTCCTCACACCCTCCAATGACTTTCCATTTCACTAAGAGTAAAAGCTTTGCTAAGGCTTACAAAGCCCAACATATTATGGCCCCAACTGTGCTCACCTATCATTTCCCCCCTTGTTCTCTGTGCTCTATCTATATTGGTTTTTTGTTTGTCCTTGAGCATGCCAAATGCATCTCTTTTCAGGGCCTTTGTATTTGCTGTTGTTGTTGTTTTTTAACTTGGACCTTTCTTCCCCAGATATGACTCCATTGATTCTTCATTTCTTTCAGGTCTTTGCTAAAATATCACCTCATCAGAGGGCCTTTGTTAAACATCCTATCCTATATAATAAAAGCCTAATATACTAAGTGTCCGGTCGTCCACTTGGCCATTCAACCAATCAAAGTGTAATATGCTAATGATAAGCTAAGGTCACTCAACTACTCGCTATGATGTACACTGACCACCAGGGGGCAGATGCTCAATGCAGGAGCTGCTCCCTGGTGGTCAGTGTGCTCCCACAGGGGGAGTGCTGCTCAGCCAGAAGCTGGGCTCACGGCTGGCAGGTGCAGTGGCGGTGGCTGCACTCCCCACACACACAGACACCGAGTGCACGAATTTCATGCACCAGGCCTCTAGTATAGAATATTACCTATCATAACTATTCTCCTTACCCTACTTTACTTTTCTTTATAGATATGTACATATATCTGAATATATGTATATATGTATGTGTGTATATATACATGAATATTTATAATATATACTTATATTTACTTGTGTTTTAGCCTTCTAAGGACAATGTAAGCTCCATGAGAGCAACAACTTTATCTTTTTGTTCAGTGTTGTTATCCCCAATACTTAGAACAGTATCTGGCCCATATTAGGTAATAAAAAGGAAATATTTGTTGAATTAATAAATTAATCATTTACTGACAACAAAGAGACTTCTTAGAATACTATATCTCCATTCATAAATAACTTGACCTTTTCTTTGGAACTTTAAGGTTCTATAGCTCAAAAGGTAAACAGAAAAGGAATAACTGCAGATGCTGTTGCTTGGCTATGCTAAATACTACCCACAACTCCCTTCTTCACTAGCCACCTTGCAGCTACAAGTGTTTATATGATATAGTTCTGGCCAAGGAGATGTAGGAAGTTCCTAGGGAAGGTTTCCCATTACAAATAAAAAGATAAAGATATAAAGTTTTAAGAGGAGAAAGTTCTTGCCCTCCTACCTTCTTTCTACTTGGACACAGCTAGATACGGAAGGTGCTGTAGCAATTTTCAATCATGAGGATGAAAACCCACTCAGTAAGTATGGAAACATGAGAAGAAAAAAGAACCTGAACCTCTAGTGACAATGTTGAGTGCTGACAAGTCTTCAGCTGCCTGCTTCCAGACTTTTGGTATATGAGACAAATAAACGTGCATCATTTTAATCTACTCTACAATGAAGGTATATATCTCTCAATAGTCTGTTAGTTACTGGTTACTGTAATTTATTAAATTTAGTACAGTACTCTTACACCAACCCAAGCCGTTGCCTCATACATGACTTAAAGGTACTGCCTCAAAGACTTTACATTCTAAGATAATGACGCTGTTATAAATACACAGAGAAAAGTACATAAAAAGATGATTATAATTATGATACTCCTTCCCATGGACAATCATATAATTAAAAATTTTTCAAAGCTTCAAGAACCTTAAAGTTTATTTAGTGCTGAATATGAACAATATTTTCTATTCAGAATTTTAGTGAATATTTAAAAAAAGATTATGTCTGATTTATCATTCACTTACAATTGAAATATAAATATTATTTATAACTCACTTTCACTGAAGTCCTGGTCTCATCATTGATATATCATAAAACATCTTACCACAACCACTATAACTGGGGAGAATGGTGGAGATGCTTCTGCCTTTAACTCAGGTTTATAGATTTCAGATTTAATCTTTCCTAAGATAAGCTTTCTTTATGGTGCAAATTTTGTGTAATCTTACAAAAGCTGTCCTTTTAAAATGTTGTTCCTGAGGAGAAAACTGTACTTTTTTTTAAAAAATATATTTTATTGATTTCTTACAGAGAGGAAGGGAGAGAGATAGAGAGTTAGAAACATCGATGAGAGAGAAACATCGATCAGCTGCCGACCTTTCAGTCCGCAGGCCGACGCTCTATCCACTGAGCCAAACCGGTTTCGGCGAAAACTGTACTTTTTAATTGTGTGGAGTTATTTGTGGAACACGTGTTGTAACAGAATAGAATATTTCTTATTGAAAAGCAAGTCTGATTTTCAGTGACACACACACACTGAACAAATATTTATCCAATGCATTTTACAAGTCAGAACAGTTAGGGACTTGGGAAACACAGAGTAAGCTATACCCTGCTATGAAGAACATTACAGCTCAGCAGAAAGAACGGACATGTAAGTAGATAAAAAATAAAAGCAGGAGGTTATGAAACCATCTGATGGCTCAAACTACAGAAATAAGTAGTTTTCTCTCTCCGTGTCTTTTAATTGGAAATTGTAATGTGGGTATCTACCAGCCTGGAAAAATATTCCCCACCTTTAAAATAATTTGCTCCTTGTTTATATTTTTCTTATGGCACCAATCACTCTCCTTTTTATGTTAGAGGCATTTAAATATCTGCCTTCCCTATGTTAGTCGATTGTAAACTCCTTGAAGGCAGGATCTACTACGTCTTATTAATATCTGTATCATTTGCCATATTTAGAACAGTGCTTTTCCTTATACTTACAGTAGTTACTGAATAAATACTTGTATGTATGAATAACAAATCTTCCAAACAAAGTCAAGTTGGGAAGGGAAAGACTCATTGATGCTTCCTGCTCTGCCCTTTTGCTTCTCTAAGCCCTCCAATAGTTATAGAATCTCTGCTACAAAGTGATTGCTCACTGGATAAATAATACAAACTTTGATGCTAATGCCTTAATATTGGTCCCTGGCTACACTGTTTGCATGTTATCACAGGGGCCTTCTGGATATATAGTAAATTAACTGAAAGAAATGTCTCAAAGGAGGAGTATTTTAATTCTCTGGCACATTAGCAGGTTTGTGTGTGTTCTTAACAAATATTTACTGAGTACATTCTATGTGTCTTCCCACTCAAGACCCACTCAAAATCACACTAAGAATAGTCAGCTACTTCACCAATAAAGAAAGTTTAACTTGATCCTATAAATATGAGAAAACAGTATTTGTAACTGACCTACACACAAGAATAAAATAAAATAGACAA